GGGGGGATGTGCTTTTCAGCTTGTTCTTATCTTCATATGGATTTTTAGAATTGCAAGTAACGTATAATTTTTAAGTCAAATGTATATTTACATGCATTTTTACAATTCATGTACAGCCACAGAAAAATTTCCCACAGGGACAGTAAAGTGTCATCTTGTCGTATTTCTTAGTAAAAACATACGAGCTACCAGTGTGAGTGTGGCCCAACCACCCACGAAGACGGAGCGTCAAGAAGGAAAATGGAACTGGTCAAAGAGGTCTTCTCATGAACGTGTCAGCTTTGAGACAGTTACACAAAAGGAACACATGACAGCAAACTCTGACCGTTTACCAAAACTCAGTGGGTGGTTGGCGGGAGCTCTGGTGTGGTTTGTTCCTTCTTTCCTACAAATATGTAGCATCCTTATCTCTCCACTTTCTTTTCTTTGTATTTTACTCTCAATTTAAGTAACACCTCTAATCTTTGGCAGCTATATGGCCTACTTGTGTTGCAAATGCCTCAAAATCCTTCCTCCAAGTTAAAAAAAAGTAAAAAACCACCAAAGTGGATGGTTGGCAGGTGCTCTGGAGTGGTTTGCTCCTTCTTTCCTATTAAAAAAAAATATCGTCTTTATCTCCCCTCCTTCTTTTTTGTGTTAGTTACTCTCTTGTAACACCTCTAATCTTCGGCACTTATATGACCTTATTGTGAGGCAAGTGACGTAAAATTCTTACTAAAACTAAAACTAAGCCACCAAAACAAAACAAAACCCAAAGATGGCAACACTGTGTGCAGGGAGAGGCAAGGTGCCGAGAAGGCAAACATCTTTCGCACCTCGTAAAGGGGGAACGAGTGGAAGTCGGCTTCAACAATCCACGCGCTCAATCACTAGACGTCAAAACCTCCAAACTGAAATTTGATTACAGGGGAATAATAATCACAGACCCTGAATAATTTCCCCGGTTGATGAATGAAAGATTTTTTAAAAATCTGTCAAGTGTGTGTAATCTGCCGCGGCTAAAATTTCGGATATTGTGGGCTTAAAGGGAGGCATACATTTCCTCAGAACTGTTATGATTTACTCGAAGATTTTTTGGTTATCTAGATCTATTTAAAATGACGTCGTGTCCACTATTTACCATAGTGCTCAAAGCATGGTCTAGCACTAGCTAACAACTTAGTTTCTACAGCCCGTAGATGAAGTAAAACAGGGGGGGGGGGGGGG